GGTGCGCCCCATTCCTCCCCTGCCCGCTGGACATCGCCCTCGTGCAGGGGGCCGACGCCAGCGCTGGCCCCATCGCGTGGCTGCCGCACGAGCGCTGGGCCCAGTGTCAAGCAGTGGCGGAGCGTCCCGGCTCGCCTATAGCCCCACCAAACAATGTTCTAAGAACCTTTTGTGGTATGCACGAAATGTTCTTAGAACATTTCTGGCTGGGACTGTCTTGTTTTAACACATCGGGTTTATGTCCTAAGAACATTGTTTGTGTTATTAGAGCATTTTGGGGTTCTAAGAACATTTCGTGGTAGGACTATAGGAATGCGGCCCCTGCTCAACAGTGGCCGCCTCTCTCCTGCAGCCGGGCCACCCTGCACCGCCGGCACTCGGGGCTCGCGTGTTAACGGGGGTCGGCGCGAAGGGGGGTCAGCCACTCCCCTCCGAGAGCCTCTGGCTGACCAGGGGTCTGGGAGCCGTCTGGAGCCCACTCCGCTCCCTATAGGGCCCCCTCTGCCGGCCCGGGGTCGGGAGCTGCCTCGTGGCGGGCCTGGCCTCGCGACGTGGCCCTGGGCGGCCCAGGCTTGCGCTGGTCCAGGCCGGGGCGTCCCCGAGGCACTCGCGTGCCCGACCCGGCCGCAGGGAGGGTCACGTGGCCGCCGCTCCTCCCTGGGGCGGCCCATGGGCACAGCCTCGCGGAGGGGCGCCGCGGGGCCCCGCGGGTGCCGCCCCGACTGCGCGCGTGCCGGGGCCTCCAGCGCTGCCTCGGCCGGTCGCGCCCGCAGGTGGCGCGGCCGGCCACTCGGCAGCGTGATCCTTCGCCGGAGCGGCCCTTGGCTCCGGCCTCCGGGGGTGCCCCGAGCGTTGGCTCAAGCGCGGAGAGCGCTTAGCACCGAGGCCACATCCCAGCATAGCAGAGTGGTGGGCCGCGCAGAACAACAAAAAATCGTCCACGTCTTGAGTCAGTTACTGCACTTCATTCATTCATTCATTCATTCATTCATTCATTCATTCATTCATTCATTCATTCATTCATTCATTCATTGCCTGGGTCTGGTCTTCCCGCGGCCCCCTGCAGCCGCGCACCAGAGGCCACACCTCGCCGAGGGCCGCTCTGGCGTGCAGCGGAGCGCGCTGCTCCCCCTCCTTGGGTCGGGCCCGGGTGGTCCTTGGCCTGGGAGCTTCCCCCTGCCCCGCGGGTGGGAGGGTCCGGGGGCCCCCAAACGGGGTGGCGACCACACCGTGCGGTGAGTCGCTGGAGATTCGGGGTCGCCGCAGGGTTGTGGGACTCGGGTCGTTCTCCGAGGACGTCTTGGGCGACTGGGGCATCCGAGGTCCCAAAACCGTGCGTGGACGGACGCGTGCGGTGAGGTCTTGGGGGATGTCGAGGTCACCGCACGGTCGCTCACCGCACCGTTTCGGGACTCCAAAGAGGGTACAGCCTTCTGGCCAGTGGCGGGGCTTTGTCCGTCGGCGGGAGCTGGGCCAACGCTGGTGCGGACACCGGCCGCGTGCCCGCCCTGCCTGCACGCTCCTTGCTCGCCAGCTTCTCCGCGTACTGCAGGGGGGCCTCGCTGGCGCTGGCTTCCACGGGCTGCCGACCTCCTCCTCCTCCTCCTCCTCCTCCTCCTCCTCCTCCTCCTCCTCCTCCTCCTCCTCCTACCCCTCCTCCATATCCTCCTCTTCTCCTCCCCCTCCTCGTCCTCCTCCTTCTCCTCCTCCTCCTCCTCCTCCTCCTCATCCCTCCTCCCCTCCTCCATATCCTCCTCTTCCCCTCCCCCTCCTCCTCTCCTCCTCCTCCTCCTCCTCCCCCCCTCCCCTCTTCCCACTCCTCCATATCCTCCTCTTACTCCTTCCCCCTCTCCCCTCCTCCTCCTCCTCCTCCTCCTCCTCCATATCCTCCTCCTCCTCGCGTCCCCCTCCCCGTGGCGCGATCACGCCGGTGCCGACGCCGGCCACGTGCCCGACCTACCCGAGCTTACAGGGCCCACCAGTCGTCGCGTTCGTACTGCGGGGCCTGTTGCGCGCCTCTCACCATCCAGATACCCAGACCCCCTCGAGTAAGGAAAAAATCACGACGGGAGGTTTTTCGCCATTTTCGGCCTCTGGGGGCCCTCACCGGGCCTTGGGCGCGTCAAAAAACGACTCAGGATGACAAACCGGTCCTGGGGAAGGGGTCGGGACCTCTGGGGGTCGACGTAATGAAAAAATCATTACGTCGGGGGTCTGGGTAGACAGCTATAGCGGCTTGGGAGGACGGGTTTGGGATGAATGATCAGGTCGTGCGTGCCTTCGCGCACGTTGAGTGTTGAATGGGCTTGTGCCCTGCCTCTTCCTCCCAGCACGAGAGTTGTCTTTCGCAACCGTCCGCCGCCGGGCCCCGCCCGGGTGTACCTCGCTCCCCTTGGGGCGAGGGCGCCTGTGCGGGGCCACCGTAAGGGTATAAACTTTCCAGCCGCCCAGGGGCAGGTGTCCCCGACGGCGAAAAAGTTTATTCTATACCGTTCCTCGC